ATTTTTTTTTTTTTTTTTTTTGGGAAACTTTTGATTTTGTGTGTGAGAAAAAAAGAACGAAATATCAACCATCTCTCTCTCCCACACACAAAATCTAAAGTTTTCCTGTGTGAACCGGCACTAAGAAACCAAATAATTTCATTGCCAGACAATAAATTTATCTGCTAACGGTGGCTGACAATAAGGTAAACAAAAGACAGCTGTTTAATTTTGTACAGGATAATTATTAATAGTACAAAATAGAGTTAATGAACGCTTTTCCAGTAACAATTGCTACTAATAGGTACTAACCAAAGTATCTTAATAAAGTAGCGATATCTCTTGTTGTACAACATCTACAAAAACTACATGCATTTTGTTTTTGGAATTAGTTACGATTGAGTCAAAATCATAAGGTTTTTTTTTTTTTTGTTTATAAAATTGAACAAAAATTTCTTTCAACAACAATGTGAAGAAAAGATAAATATAAAATTTACTTTTAAAAAAATTAAGTATATAATCCCAGTAAAAACTTTCATTACCATGTAAGCGGTTAAAATGCCAAAATTTACTTACACAATAGCATTTTAAGTCATTATTTTAACACGGTGATGTCATTGGAGCAAGTACTTACCACAAACGATTACAAGTAATTTAAAAAAGTAGTCATTGAAAATCGCCTGAAAAAACGTATACAGCTTCTATATATTCACTGGCAAGATGACTAATGATTTAGAAAGTATTTATATAAAAATTATTAGTAAGACCTTATTAGACTACTTCTATGTAATCCAGACGATATGTAGTATTCATTGAAAAGTATATTGTTAGGTAAGTAATTACAATTAAAAGCCATTACCTAGTTATTGCTGGGTACTAATGTTGAACAAATTTATAACTTACATTCCATAATTTGTTTATAATAATCTTAATAATTTATACGTATGTATATGCAAATTAATAAATAGAGGGACTATATTCAATAGTCACCGTCTTTCATTACATTTCAATGTTTTTTAAAAATGTGTGCTACAGCTAAAAGAAATACAAGCAACTATCGGTAGTCGGGTCCTTTCGTTATATTGGAATAATTCTTGAGACCTCGGAAAACGAGCCTCCTTTTTCTGCGATTTTCGTTGTATGTATTGTAGTTACAAATAGTTATACCTTTCGTTTTATTAAGTTTTGTATCTTTCCTATATAATTATAAGAATTGTTTATTCGCATTTCAAAAGACAACATCTATATACATACATATATAAAAATGAATGTGTGTTTGTATGTATGAATTTTTGTTTGGACTTTATAGACTGCTAAACGGCTGGACCGATTTTCCTGAAATTTTCACACTGTCTTCCTGTATGTCTGGAAGGAACTATAATCTACTTTTTATTTTAAAATTTCATATGGGCAAAGTACCACGCCCACATACATAATAACTGTTAAAGGTCGCATATCTCAGAAACTGCAACAGCTAGAGTTCTAAAATTTTGTATGGACAACTTTGACATCCGCATGTACATATGGGGGCAAAATGGGGCCCCTCCCATATAAAGAAAATCTTAATCTCTAATTTTTCGGAGCCACTTTAGTATCAACATGAATACTTAGGACAAAAAATTAGCGGAATAGCAATAGGGGGCGTGGTACTCCCATATGAATTAAATACAAAAAATCGTTTATTTGGGAAACTATTGGAGCTGGAATTTTGCACGAAGCACTTTAACATCTATGTGAACATTTTGGAGGAAAAATTGGCGGACTAGCAATAGGGGCCGTGGTCCCTCCCATATGAATTAAATAAAAAATTCGTTTATCTGGGAAACTATTAGATCTAGAATCCTCAAATTTTGCACGAAGAACTTTGAAATTCATTTTAACATTTGGGTAATAAATTGCCGGACTACCAATATGGGAAGTAGCACTTCCCAAATGAATTAAATACAAAAATTCGTTTATCTAGAAACTATTAGAGGTAGAATCTTAAAATTAACATAAAAGTGAACATTTGGAAGTAAAATGTACGGGCATTCATTTGGGGTTCATGGAACCTTTCATATGAATTAAATACAAAAATGTGTACATCTGAGAAACTATTAGAGCTAAAATCCTTAAATTTTGCGATAACAACTCTGACATGTGAATATTTTAATCTAGAATGCTGTTCACATTCATGTGAACATGGGAGGTACCATACCCCTATTGTGGACTATCAAAAGGGGCTATGGTACCTCCCATATGGATTAAAATAAAAATTCGTATTTCTGGGAAACCAACAGAACTAGAATCTTCAAAAATCATAAAGTGCGGTTTTTATTTATACTGTTTTTAGGGTAGCAAAGCACACTGGGTATAGCTAGTATACATACATATGTATATAAATACATACATAGTATGTACATAAGTTCACAACCATACAACCGGTGGTTCAACTTACAAATTTCGTTTTTCATCAACATTTCTTATAGGTTTCAAGAGATTTCCGAATGTGAGTTTTCATTTTATTTCTTCTTTCGCATTAAATAAGATTCAAGCCGAACCGGTTAATAAACTTTCAATGTAGGTCAAGATTTGCGGTGATAAAAAGTCTAACGACGAATAACAGCTTAAACACATTAACCGGTACAAGTAATAGGAAGAGACAATATGAAAGAAAGAAAAAAAAAACAAAAACAAAACGAGTAAATATAAACAAACTCTAAAACAATTTCATTGCATTTTTATTACAAATACTTTCAAAGAGAAAATCTTGCATTACTATTTTTTATTAATTTTAAATACACTAAAACCCCATTTACACTGCATCAAAATCTAGTAGATTTCAATCAATATCTTTCTTCTATGTATTTTTGACATTTAGGAAGATTTAATTTTGTCTAATATTTTTCCAAATTGTGTTTGATACCAAAAATTAGAAGGGAATATGGAAAATTTACTAGAATTTCATTTAGAATAAAAAAATAGATATTTAAATATTGCATTAACTTCTATTTTAAATTAACTTTTCATTCATGTTTTCCAATTTATTAAAATTTTGTCGACATTTTGATTTTTCTTTGTTTGTTTTGTTTTTCTTGTGCAGCGTCGTAATATTTAGGAACAAACAGAGTTGCATTTCTGTTTTTACAAGATTTTAAGTAGATTTTGCCGAAATCTACTAATGAAGTCGATTTTGTTTTGTGTGGGAAATCTAGTTAAAATCAACTAGATTTGCTCGAAATCTCATAAGTACTAGATTTCGCTGTAGTGTAAATGGGGTATAAATGAGTGATATCATTTACTTAGCGTTCATGTTCATTTATACCTACATACATACATACATACATACATACATACATACATACATACATACATACATACATACATACATATATACATACATACATACATACATACATACATACATACATACATACATACATACATACATACATACATACATACATACATACATACATACATACATACATACATACATACATACATACATACATACATACATACATACATACATACATACATACATACATACATACATACATACATACATACATACATACATACATACATACATACATACATACATACATACATACATACAAACATACATACATACATACATTGTACATTAAAGTGTTCCGAGGAACAGCCTTTTTAAGAATTTCATGTAGGACTACCTCACAATCCTTGGGTATTAATGTACTGAACACTAGAAAAATCGAATGGTCCTCAGTTCCCTACCAGTGATTGAAAATCCTGTCCTCATTACAGTATTTGAAAAATAAAATATCTTCGATTTTTTTTAAATGGGTCTCAAAAATTCCTGTTACTTAAATATCATATCGCTTACAATAATTAAACCATTCAGATGGTACAAGTTAATATATTTCTCATGCTAATTGAAATTTAATTTATTTATCTAACAGTCATGAAAACATTAGTTATAGTTTTTACGTTTACAACAAAAAGACGATTCGATAAATCTATATGAAAGACTTCCGAATGACGCATATTTTATAGCCCTCAGTGAAAAAAAAACCCGAATTTTGGATTATGCCTGTCTTGTAACTAGTAAATAACCGATTTACAATATTTTGGAGTTGTTTGGCAAATTTCAAAAACAGATTCTTATTGTACTGGATAATACCTATCAGAACAAGTAAGAGTGTTACATTCGGCTATACCGAATCTTTTATACCCTTCATCATATTGATAAATTTAAATTTATTTTAATTTTATCTTTAATTTTTCCGAAAACATCTCACTTTGTTTATAAATGCTTTCCCATCTCCCATCAGAGGTTGTCTCGGATTTTTACTCATATCTCTGTTATTTATGGACCGATATTGCTGAAACTTTTCGAAAGCATGTCAGATAGAATTATTGAAGATTTAGATCCCAAACTTATATATACCCTTCTCACGAAGTTGAAGGTATAAATATAGTATCACTTCCCAGGTATTTCTATTTTCGTTTATCTTGTCTTACTGTGTTATCGGAAAGAATTATTTGTAGACATAACTTTTATATTTCAATTCTCACCAGAAATCGAATATGTTTTAAAGTCACTATGTTTCTAACGTAGTTAAGTACACGCATAAATATTTAGCCGTTCAAGGTCATCTTTGCGGCCTACCTCTTTATCAAAATTCTAGAGAAATTTGTAAAGTGTCAATGAATTATGTGTAAACAAAAAAAAAAAAAGAAAAACTTTATAATGATATCGTAAAACTAATCTCACTCATACTTGAGCGCTCTTTATTTTACTTTTCGATTATGTAAATTGAACTTGTGTAGGTATATTCTTCAACGTCTACATACAGTGATGGAAAATATACTACAATGTGATAGAATGTGCCTATTCATTTAGTACTAACTATAAACAAAACGACCCCTTAAAAATTTCATTTTTATCTTAACAATTTATTTTTTAAGAAAAAAAACTATTTTTAACATTATTCTATTAAAAATGAATAAATTTTAAACCAAAGTAAAATAGTTCTTTAAAACATTTTACTAACCTTGAATTTTTATCCAACATTACTTTGTGCTGATTTCGATCACCATGGATCTTTTGCATTTTCTCTGACTCGATAGTGCCTGACTGTTGTTTTGACTGGAAAGAGTCTAAAACACCATCAGTCGATGAAGTAGGTTTAATTTTATCTTTGGAATGCAGACATGAGTTAAATGCATACAATCTCTCGTTGACATTAGTTTGAGAATGAATCGTAGAAATCCCGGATGAAAGGCAGCAGGGAGATGTTGATGATTGTGACGATGATGATGTTATATAATGTTGTTTAAGGTTTGTTGCATTTGTTATCTCCAATTCTTCTGTTAGTATTGGATTGGTATTCTTTGTTTTAATTTCACATGGTGTTGACTCCTCATCTTCAGACATCATTGTTGAGTCAACACTCAATTGATTAAACATTTCGTCATTTTGATCAATTGAATGAAAACAATTTGATTGATGAGTGTTGTCATACTGATGCTGCTGGTGGTGATGTCGATTATGATGTTGGTAATTTGACGAAGTTGTATTAATTGGCGGTATTGTCGACGTTGATGTAACTGTTGTTGTAGTTGTTGTTGTAACTGCTGACGCTGATATACTTCCCGATGATTCTGGTATAATTGTGCCAAAAATATGTTCGCCAAAAATAAAAAGATCTTTTGAGATTATCATTATTACAGATTGATTACAAACACACTAAAAAACTCTCAACTTCAAGTCTCTGAATATTTTTGTTTGTTTTTTTTATCTGTTTTATTTGCTGAAAATCTAAATTGTTATTCTTAAAATATAATAAAATCTGACGATTTCAAATACCAATTAAGGATAGATTAATGTATATATTCTAAATCAAAATTAGCCACATTAATTAGGTAAAAATCTATATTAAAAGTACATATTAATTAGTGCAGAATTCGAATTAAAAAGTCAAACCTAGACACCAAAGAATATGTTTGTTGGGGATTGAGTTGTGTTAAAAATCTGGCATCAGAATTTCTACATCTCATCATCCTAAAATTTAAAAAATGCGGTTTTTGGGCGTCTGAAAGTCTTCACTGTCGACTTTAAAATAAAGTTCTTACCACTTCTTACTTCTCTGATATACATATCTTAACCTAAAGCATGAAACAACTATAAATTTGAAAAATGGATTGTTTATGTATTTTACGACAAAAACTTCAGTGGACGATATCTCAGCAAATACAAGAGTCAATAAAAGAATCAAGAAGTATTTTTATAGGAGAAAATATGACAAATTGTGATATGTGTATTGTGATATACGAAATGTAAAAAAAGTTTTTGTCAAAAGAAGATATGTATAACAATGGTTATGCTTTTATTTTCAAGGCGATTAATATGATAAAAAACAAAATTCACAAACATATGTATATAGGTATCTTCTCGGTTTACAAATAAAGGTTTAGTTTCAAATATTGCCAAAAACCTGATATGATGCGTAATTCCAGATAGAGTGCAGCTTTATCCTTTAGACAAGTATACTATCAATTTTAATTCTATGGTTTAAAAATTTGTTGGCCTGAATAATTCTCTTTGAAATTTCAATTCTACTCTGTATGGCGAAATGGCGTATGTATGTATGTTTCAGTATGTTAAGAAAAATTGTTTTATTAATTTTGTTAGTTTTTAAGTATTTAAACAGTTTACGAAGCTTTAATTTTTAAATTTTAAAGATGTAAGGTTCGATGCTCTGTAGAAAGTGTTTGTTTTTTTCCAACAAATTACTTATGTCTGTATTATTTTTATACAAATATTCATAATTTTAATTCTAGTTTTTTTTTACTTTATGTACTTTACAATTGTTGCATTTTTTTTTTTGTATATTCAGTAATTTTAACTTGTTTTGTTATTTTTTCCCTTAAGTATTTTTTATTTAAATTTTAACTGTGTTTGTATGTAAATATATTATACAATTGTGTGTTTTTTTCAATTCCTGTAAAATAATTTTACATGAATTTTACTGCACAGTGAGATGTGATGATGTTTTTGTTGTCGTTGAACTTGGTTGTACATATGTATGTATGTATATACTATTATGCATGTGTTGTATATTTGTACAGACATTGTTAAACAAATAATATTAAAAATTATCATATTAACAATTACAACAACATCAACAATATTTTATAAACAAATGTACATACATACGTAAAAGTATACAAATTCGTATACACGTAAACTGTATTTACTTATGCATATATGCATGTATGTTAATATGTATGTATGTATGAATTTTTTTATATTTCAATATTATATAGTGGGAACAAAAACCATCCAATATTTGCCGAGATTTTATTATTTTTTATTTATTTATTTTTTTTTATATTCGATTTTCTTTCTTTTCTTGTATTCCGCGAACAGATTTACATGTTCTTCCAGCGACCGATCTTGTTTTTAACTGATCTGCAGTAGATGAAGACAACTGGAAAACAAAGCAATATCAGTAGTCGTTTTACGTCGTCAGTAAACAAACAAAACGTATGCCGAATGCTTCTTGTTATTGTGTTGTATGTTATGAGCAAAAATGTTGGTGTGCTGTTATCTCTCGTATCCAGTATCAATTCTTTATTTTAAGAAAGAGAAAATTTCAGAGAAATCCATACGATATACAAAAAGAAAATTATTAAGAGATTCTGAAATGTTGCTGTAATGCAAGCAGAATGACAAACTAGCGGCAACTACAACACAAACACAAAAATACATCAATTAAAAGTCGTCTCCAGCCCTTTTGAGGTATACTTAGCAATATAATTAAGTCAAAATCAAATTATTAAGTTATCTTGGTCATGCACTGATTTTTGTTGGAAAGCAATAAGTTTGGAGACATGAAATCCCCTTCAAATATAGGAAATAAAAAAAGAACCAACTTAAAATTTTTAGCAGTTTTGTAGAAATTTTTTATTTTCAGTAACGTATCCAACATGTGTCCAAAAAATTAAAAAAGTAGTGTAAAAATTCGGATTACAGAAACACGTTACGGAAATCGATTGAAAGTTGTAACACAAGGGTCCTTATAGGAAAGATTAAAGATTCATATATTTATGTACATACATATGTATTAAAGTTGAATTTAGACTTGTTTTGTAACGGGCAACAATTCTGGCATCTAGGTCCGTTGCACTCACGTCTTTGTACCTGTCCTACACGACTATCGCCTAATGCATGACAGTGACATAAAATATGGTTAATTGATTCGTCATCATAACGCTTCTACAGTAGTCAGCCAAGTTTCATACCATGGTTATCAAATTCACATTACCCAATGGTGGTAACAATCATTTTGCTGATTTGGGATCGGCTTATTTTCCGGAGATAGGGCGTGCGCTCCCTATTAAGCGCTGGCCATATCTTCCTCGTTAAAATGCAAGTTGGTACGTTTCTCTAAGATAGTTTGTGGAACATTCCTGGATTTGTCGTGGTTCTATCAGGGGCTTCATTGTAGCTTGTCTGTCGGTAAAGATTAGGGTATCTCTACTCGATATCTTATGATACCAGTATGCTGCTATTTTTATGGCTGATATCTCGGCCTGAAACTAAATTCTAGGCAGAATTTTCCGAGATGATGAAACCAAAGTTTCTTCGGAGAAGGCTTGGGGATGCTATAATCAATATTGCCTGGTAAGGTTAATTTCCCCTCTGTAATGCTCACATGGCCATATACTTTATACGACCATGCGTTTTTTGCATTCAATCTAAATGTTGTTGTTAGTACCACTTTTTCTGGCCAACATGTCTGTTGAAATCCAGTTTCACAACGCGAATAAGGATTTTGTTGAAGTTGTTCCCAGTGACCCAGTTATTAGGATCGACATTCTCAATAGAACTCTAACAAACAGTTTTCAATTTGAGTTTATATTTAGCGCTTTCCATCAAACAATAACTCCATAAAATAGAATTGGCTTGAATAGAAACCGCCTCAAAAATCCATTTTACAAGTGAAGTTTCCATGACATTTTACTATCAAGAACAACAAGGTATTTTGAACAGTCCGATAGTAAGATCCCCCCGGGGGCATGTTACCTTGGCGAGACCTCCGCCTTGGTGTTATTGCAATCCCGGGGTATAAAGAGGTGGCCAATACCTCCAGTCTGACCGGGACTGAAAAATTGGTTACTGGTTAGTCTACTGCCTGGCTTAGTCCTTGCATAGATTGCCAGAGGTCAGACCAGAGCACCGCATAATCTGGTACTACGGGTGGCCAGTTGCCCGCAGGACTATGTCCTGGCTGGTCAGTTGGTTGAGGTTCCTTCGGGATCCACGTAGTGGCTGTGGTTTAAACCCAAATTCGCGGGAAGAGTAAGCGGTTAAAAGACTGATGCATGAGAATATTTCGGTGCTGTTGCCGAAAACAACAGATACCCCACAGAGGAGTGACTGTGGGACTAAGCGTTGGAAATGGGTTGGAGTCAATTGTATATGATACGGGCCTCGTCCACCCGTATATCTAAATGAGTGTGTCGTATGTTTTTCTCTTATGAATGTGTCGGATAAATGAGAAGTGTGCTGGGTTGAATGATGATGGATGAAAGGTATCATATACAAGTGATACCGATTAATTTTCCTTCCTTGTCCAGATATGTTCAGAGTATACTCTGTTCATATCAGAATTACCACAGCGTGTCACTGTGAGTAAGAACAATGTCTACGGCTTATTGATGGATCGTGCTTCGGTCCACCGGTTACGTCACTAGGTGCTGTTGCCGAATCAACAGAGCCATAGTAGTCTGGTTGGGCGACATTATGTCGGGGTAGATTGAGCTTGCTCATGACACCTGTCTTTCCCCAACGTGACTACTTTGGCAAGAGATTAGATAGCTCGAGTACTCCAGCAAAGTACTTGTGCATGGACCGGTCATAGCCAATGTACGAAAATTGCCACCTGAGTTCTTCATTGAAGAAAAAGGGGCGATGGTAGACCGTTCTCAAGTCTACCCTGTGGATGAAAAAGACCACCGTGAGATAAGGCCGACACGGCAGGTGCTCACGTTAAAACTCTCGACAGTCCGATAGTAAGATGTGCAAAGAATAAATCTTATACTTGCAATCTGTTTGTGGCAACATTCCATAGAAGTGAAGAGAGGATATGTCCTTGTGGTGTGACTCTGTCCTGAGATGTAAAGTAAAGATAATGCTGAATTCTTTCAGGATTATTTTTACTTTACTCTTTGGTATGGAGGGTTTGCAGGTCTGCTTCTAAATTTATTTACCTACTTATCAATATCTACCGTGTTATTTATAACTGGAGCTGATTGAATGAGAAAATTCAGGATTCGTCTTTTTTATACCAGGTTGTTTTCTTTCTGTTTAGAAAGGGAAAAAACAATATTTTTACATAAATTCCAAACAAAAAAAGAACTTCCAATGAAACAAAAAAGTAGTGATGATTTCAACACAGGCTTGTCATAGTAGGGACGTCCTTTTTATTTGATTCCAAATTCACAACTTCTGAAGTAGTGAAGTTGTTGTGGCAACACCGGAATGAATTCAACTGAATGACCATTCTTAGTACCGGTTCACACAGGAAAACTTTGTTTGGGAAACTTTTGATTTTGTGTGTGAGAAAAAGAGAACGAAATATCAACCATCTCTCTCTCCCACACATGAAATCAAAAGTTTCCCTGTGTGAACCGGCACTTATTTGTTTAATTCTTCCTATTACAAATTGAATGAAAGAAAAAAATGTTAAATTAAATTTTTAATATAAACAAGAGAGCTATGTATATTCGGCAGTGCCGAATCTTATATACCCTTCACCATAGTGTATTTAAAAAATATAAATTTTATAAAATTTAAATTTATTTAATTTTCCCGACAATATCATTATTATAGTAATAGCTAAACAAAATAAACAACAACAACGCTAAACCAAATAAAAACGAAACATACGAAACGAAGTACACAAAAAAACAAAATACACAACGCAATGAAACCAACAGACATCCAAACATACGAATACACCAAGAAACAAAAACAATATACACAAGCATGGATGGCAAATTTGGTACGATGGTACTTTTTTTGATGCTATTTGATGTTCAAAAGTACCGTGATACTCCCGAGTCTTATTTGATACTCTCAGGGCCAATATCTCCGGTTATCCTTTAACAGGTGGATATACTGCCGGTTAAAATAATTTTTGTATGTAAAATGTCAATTTATCGTTATGATAAAACATAATCAGACAATGAGAAAATGGGGGTCAAAGTATATCTAAAAGTTCAAATTTGAAATTCTAAGAATGTTTTGAAATCTAGTTTTAAAAGCCACTTTTTAGAAGTATGTTTTGCAAATAACCAATGCAGCTCATTTCGAATTTTTATCTTGATTGACATTATATGAATATTAATCTAATTAAATTCCATTGTTAATATTATATGAGAAAATTACCAAAAATTTCAATTTTGAAAAAATATTTGACTTTAAAACTAATTATTTCCAAAGAAGCTCGAAGGACTCAATTTCTATCTAATATAAAACGATATGTTTTGAAATTAAGAATTCAACCATAGATAATAAGAAAGTTTTGGTGAAAATTATTTGGACTTTAAAGCAAAGTCATGGATGGTCTTATGTATGGTCTCATGTGTAGAATTTGATATGACTATTGATTTTTTAACAAATGAACACCTATGTACATCGAATTTTAATTTAATAATATACATATGTGTTATATTAGGGTGGCCCCAAAATGGAAATTGCTGATGTTCCCACCGAAAATGAAAATTTAGTTCATTCCATTTCACAAAATTTTTGTCCTGACGTCAATATTTGGTGAGCTGGATCAAAGGATAAAAAGGTCCTTTTTAGGGTTTATATGTTATTTTTTTCACATTTTTGACAAATAAAACATATGCAAATTTAGTATCATATGAAAGGTCCTTGGGAGACGATTTCAATGACATACACAAATTTGTATACAACACCAAAATGATTACAAATGTCGTAATTTTTCGGAAAAATTTTAAGTTTTTCATATTTTTACATAGAAATATATAATGTAATTAATTGAAATTATTATATTATAAACCTCACCTCACCTAAATTTCACCGAAATGGTTTTTTCTGTTTTTCGAAATTCTTTATGTTTTGTATTTTATCTTAATATTTTAAACTCTATTTTGTCCCAGGTATTCTGTTAGCTATATTTATCTAACATACTTAATATGTACATCAGCATACGCGTAATTTCATTTACAATGGTATATAACACTTTATGGTTTCATTCTATTATCAATCAAATTTTTCAGTTTAACTAACATAGTAACACAATTTATCCTAAATATCTACTTGTTTGTTACGCTTGCTTTGTAAATATAAAATATATATAAACATAAGTAAATAATAGCCCATTCAGACCGAGTCGAAATTAAGTAATTTGGGATCGAAATTGTTGTGTAGTGGTGATGTATGT